CGCGCCTGATTTAAATGTCACACCTGAGCGCTCACATCCTTTTAATTATGTTTGAAATTATGAACATCGCTCAACATCATGAAAATTAAACCTTATTTTCAATTAGCAATCCTGAAAAATATTTGGGGGTGCTTAACTTTTTTCCAGGTGTGTATATATATATACACACTAAATGAGGCATTGTTACCAAAATATTCCGTAGATTATACATTTTAAGGTGCGGTTTATGAATATGTTATACTTCTCAAGTTGTCTTGAAAGGGCATATTTGGAAATAAAGTAACTAATTCATGAAGTTTGCAATTATTTATTAAACATAATAATACCAAAAAGAAGCTTTATTCTGAAAACTGTGTCAGGTACAAAATGTTCAGATGTAAATTTAAGTTTGTAAAATTGTGGAATTGAAATCAGCTTAACACCTTTAATGGATTGAAGTCATGCTTGTATGTGTATAATATTTATGTTATAAACTTCAAAGATCTATCTGTTGTACTGTATGTTCTAACCATTAGTGAAAGTTTGGTTGCATTCTAAGATCCTTTAAGGTTGAAAGTTTGAGACAGAAAAAGGTAAGGATAGGTTTTGGAAGTTTAAAAAAATGAATGCATTGCTGACAGAAACAGTTGAAGATGATCAACCCATATTCATCATGAATAAGTTAATTATGAATTACTATTGGACATTGCTGTTATTGATGTGCATACTAAAGATAGTACTATTCAATACTTTCTCACATTCAAATAAACATTACTATTTATTGTAATAAAGTAACTTTAATATTTCCGATTTGTAAATGTATGTTTATGTATGTAAACGTGTGTGTGTGTGTATGTTCATTGTTGCAAACTTTGAGATTTTGGGAATGTTTCTTTCCAAACTTGTACAGATATGTACAACCAAGAACTTTTTAAAAGGTATACCATCTTTCCAAGTTATTTTTAATATATATCTGTTATGAGCTTCTTTCCTATTATCATTAAAATAAAATAAAAAATTGTATAATTACAAATGCTATTTTATTTGTAATGAGTGGATGTATAATTACAAACGCTATTTTATTTGTAATGAGTGGACCCACATTTTCAATAGAATAAAAAATTATTTAGTGATGGTACCAGAGGAACATGATTGAAACCTTTTGTGATTGTTAAGACCTTTTTTATTGTTATTTCATCTCATTTTAGCAGTAAATAAGTATGTATTTGATGCTATATGCATTTGTTGTATTTATTTAGAAAATAACAATACCACTAGTATTTGTATATTTATAGCTGTTCAAATTTACAGATCCATCTGTTGTCCACGAACTTCCTCGCAGAGTATTTGCTCCACTGTCCCAAAGTGAACTCACTGTTTGTGATTACTTATTCCAAGGAGACTCTGCAGGAGACTGTTTGAATGCTTTCCAAGATCTGTTAGGATTAAATATTGCTGAGAATGAAGTGGAGATGGATTGTGAATGTGCTCCAAGTAAGTGACTAACAGGATGCTATCTAAACTATTAAAAATTGTAAGTTTGTGAGGAAGAAGTAGAGATATCTTGGGAAAAGTTTTTATTATATGAACATGCAGTATTGTAAATAACTGTAATCATGCAAAGAAGTGGAAAGGTTTTCTTGGTAAGTGACATTTGACTGCCTTTTGGAGTCATTTAGGACTGCAAGTTAATGATGTAGAGAAGGAGATAAACTGTAAGTATTTTTCAGGTAAATCACCATTTTGCTGCTTTCCAGGATTATATAGGTTTATTTAATATCAAAAAGTAGTAGTAATGGATTGAAGTCATGCTTGTATGTGTATAATATTTATGTTATAAACTTCACAGATCTGTCTGTTGTACTGTATGTTCTAACCATTAGTGAAAGTTTGGTTGCATTCTAAGATCCTTTAAGGTTGAAAGTTTGAGACAGAAAAAGGTAGGGATAAGTTTTGAGCATGGCCATATTAATCTTCATCTAGGTTCTTTCTATTACATTTTAAGGTTGAAAGAATGGTGTAGAAATATAATATATCCTAGTTATTGTCCATTTGGGTGTTTTCAGTTATTCTTTTGAGTTGTAAATTTGAGCAGAAAAGGCAGAAATGGATTCATAACATGCACATGTTTAGCTGTCTTACAGAGTGCTGTGTGCTTTAAAGCTGAAAATATGAAATGAAGGTGTAGAGTTGGACTGTGATCATGCCCTGATTATTTTCCTATATTCCTTTCAGAATATTTTGCAGTTTGAAAGGAAAATAGAGACTATGAACATTTAAATATTAGTTTCCATGTAGGTGCCTTTAGTGATTCTTATGGGGTTAAAATTTGAGAGGAAAATGTAGGGATACTAATAATATAACTCATTTTTGTGTCCATTTAGATACTTTTATTTCTTGGTTAGTATCTATTTGAGTGCCTTCAGCAATTCTTTTGGGTTGAAAGTTTGAAGGCAAACGTAGAGAGAAACTGTTTACATTGCCATAGGTTTAACTGCTCACTTGGGTGCCTCCAATGATCCTTTCAGGTTGAAAGGAAGAGGTGAAGATAGACTGTGAACATACCCAGGTTATTTTCAATTTGGGTACATTCCAATATTCTTTAAAGTTGAATTCTGAAAGCAAGTTTGAGAGAGAGAGAATGTGAACATGTCTTAGTTAGTGTCCAAAGTTTGGTGTCTTCATTAGTTCTTTTTGGTTGAAAGTTTGAATGGAAGACACCAATAGCCTTTAAATATGTACAGGATAATGCCTATATGAATGTCAACTAGAAACCTTTAGAAAGAAATAGAGATGGTGATATAACTTTTTGATGCTGTCCAAAACATCTTGAAGATTGAAGGAAATTAGGGTTTTAATAGGCAAAAATTTGCTCTGTAGAGGCTGTATACACAAAATAGTAAAATATACATTTCATATAGAAGACATGAAAGATTATACATTCCTTTAGATACATGGCTGTCTTCATGTAAGTATATATATATTTTTTTTTTCTGCTGTTATATCAATTTTTTGTGAGTCATGCCTATTGTGTTTGGATATCGATTTATATAATTCTTATAAAAAAGAAACTTACATTTTGTCTTACATGTCAATTAATAGTATCTTGATTTTGGTAGGTTCCATAGTCTGAAACATGAATATGAAGTAATAAGGGCTTTATAATAATAAGTGCACTTTTTTTTTCTATTGCTCTACCAATGAAAATACCATAAGATTGTATATTATAAACTTGATAGAACATTTATCTTTCTTTGGATCTAGGGTGTCTGATCCCCACAATTTTTTTTAGAAATTAATAACTATTCTTTAATTTTGTTATAATGCATGAGGAGAGTCTAGACACCTTTCCATTATTTTTTTCAGAAAGTAATAACTGTTATTTAATTGTTAAGGAGTGAATGCCTTTTCCAAGCATGATCCTAAGTAATTATACTTGTCATAAGGAATTAGTTTTAGGCCTGATATTTTTAACAATGCATTTTTTATGTAGTCCCTTAGGGACTGGATTGCTGTAGACTCCAGATGTGATGATTTTAGAAAATGTCAAAAGAAAAAAAAAGTTTACAGTAGTGGTCCGAACACTTTATATAAGCCACTTGTTATGGTGTAAACGATTTTTTTCAAGCTGATGAAATAAAACATTACGCTAGAATAGAAAGTAAAACATGGTACATTCTTAACATCACACTGGATAAGGAAATAAAACATATTACATAAATCTCTACCTTATTTTTACGTTTTGAGACTGACAAGAAACAACATTATAAGAGTTGTGTATCTTGTATTGAAAAACATAAAATATTGTAAATCTGTCTTGATCTCAATTTAAAGTTTTTGACTTTTGTTTTTGGACACTAATCTCAGTCTGCATTATTATAATTAATTAGCTACCATCTTGATTGTGCTTACATTCATGTTAGATGTGAGGTTACAAAGTCTTAAAATGATTGACTGTGAAAACAATGCAGTGTCATAACATCCAGAAAATATCTCTTATAAGGCGGTTTCTTCAAAAATTCCTAAACAGGAACACCTCTTTTTTTCTTTGTCCAAAGAACACATTTATATGAAATCATCCCTTCCCCATCCAACTAAGTTATATAATTACCAACTGACAAAACCACCAAGTCTTTATGATCTCTGTTAAAAGTAAGAATAACAATCTAGTAGTCTTCAGAACAAGTTTTATAATATAGGTGCTTTGTCTGTTTAGCTTCTTTTTCAAACTGTACTTTTAAAAGACTGTTGATTTAATAATGCATGTACAAACAAGGTTGCTGAAAAATGATTTTTTTTTAACCCATTAGTTTCCCTACAAAACTACGATGCAGATGTTGAGGAACGACTCTCTGATGCAGAAGAACTCGTAACAACAGGAGCAAAAAATCTTATAGGTAAGTATGGGTGTGATAATATGTTAATTGAATATGAATATTTTTCCTATGTCAGAAATTTGATAGAAGCACATGATTGTTTGTGGATGCCACCTTCATCAGTTACTGGTGCTAAAGTGTCATCATTATTACATTACCTCATGTTGCAAAAACTAATGCTGCTGTTGTGTGTCATAATCTATGCAGAGCTGTTAAAGGATTATTTTATTAGTGCATCTAATAGAGAAATATATCACTAATTGGTGTACTTATGTTGTTTAATGTCATTTAAACGTGGTATATATAAATGTAAAAATAACCTTGCATGCTAAAGTACCACATTTAAATATATGGTTTTTATTAACCCATAACCTTTTCAGCTGTTTAAAAGCTTGTATTTTAATGTGGTACTCCAGCCTATAAACTGCTGCAATCATTATTGGTATATTACAGAATAATTTTTATTTTTATAGTGGACATATAATGATTTTACTGCCCACTGATTAAAAATTGTATTAAGCCCTTAGCACTAATTGTGATAACCACTTTATTGACTTGTACTGTAGTTTTAAAACTCTTTCACTTACATGTTTATAGATAAATCCATCCAGCACCAGGTTTATTATTAGATTAAAAAAAAGCATTTTAATCATCCATTACTTATCTAAAACTTGAAAGGAAATACTCTTTCTTGATGGTGGTACAAAACTGCAAACTCAAATAGCAGTGAAAGAGTTGATGTGGCCAAATTGATCCTAGATATGAATGAAGATAATGCTAGTATTTCTTTCACTGGAAGTAGTAGTGAAAAATGTTATTGAAAAATACTAATACACAGAATTGTGTTTAACCTTCTGAATTAAAACTAGCTTCACTTAATGAAAGACCATTAATTTGAAAAATTATTTTCCTTTACAACTATGGCACTTTGTCCCATATTTAATTTTTTTGTGGTTTTTTAATGAATAATCATAAAATATTGTTTACTTCCTTACTGATTTTAATGACTGTGTTTCAGTTATAGCTTTAGATTATACATTTACAATTTTTTAAGACAACAGTTTCCCATAAAAAAAAAAAAAACTCAACATTTTTCAGTTCCTGTGATCAGTGCGGCTGTGGCAGCTCTAGCAGCTGGCCTCTCATATCTTCTCCTTCAGGATACATGAAGATGCAAACACTGCCAACGTAGTGGTGCCATGAAAAATTACATTGTTCCAGGGGTCCTTGGTAGTAACTGTAAGCTGATTTTATATAATGCTGACATTTTTTACCATACATATGTATTAAGGTTTTTGTTCCATCATTTGGATACATTATTTTCTTCTTAAGAGGTAAAGAATTGAATATGATACTCTACCAAGTAGGGTCCTATTAAATGGGTATCTGAAATTTAAATGTTTTGTGTTCAATGGGGTTAATTGATGAAAGAAATATACTGAACAAATGCTTGCACTTATGACTCACATTATTGTACAAAAATTCTTAAACTGGGCATCTTGTGTCATCTTTAGCCAGATACAACTGTATGGTAATCTGCCAGACTGTGTACACTTGACTCCATATAGTTATTCTGTATTGTCTCGCAGCTTGTTGCAAACACTATCTCTTCTATGGAAAATATCCAACTCAAATAAGACATGCCACACAAATTCTACATTATACATATTCTCTACTTTAATGCCAAATGTGATGTCATAATTACAGCAATCCTGTATGTCACTGCTGCTATTCAGAAGTGGCATGCAGGAGTCTGAAGTTGGGAAAAGAACAGGGACAACAACAAAAAAATTACAATAGTTTTGATATCACACTGTTATTTTAGTTATTAACAAAGAGCTTGCAGATGTACAAACATACAGAAGTCTAATTATTAAAGTGGGCTGGTCACAGACTACTGTCTTGGCCCTTGGCAGGTTTAGAAATTTTTCTTTTTTGAAGAAATGAGTGAGATATATGTGCAGTCTTCAAATTTTCATGAAGTAATCTAATAATTAATGTTATTCAATTATGAACTTCTATTCAAGTCCTTACCTGAAAACTGTGAAAAACATGTTTACATACAGCATTAATCTTTTTTTTTTTATATCATAAATGTTTGAATCTTAATGATCTATACATTTATATGTATAAAAAAACTGAACTGAAAACACATTTAAAACTACCTGCTGAATGGGCTTCCTACAAAACCTTCAACGAGTTGCATGGAACCTTTTTTATATTTAATAAACCATGATTTTTGCATAGTCCACTACAATAAATATTTAAGCTAAAATAAATTTAATTCAAAACCCTTTACTTAGAGGACTATGCAATCTTTCATGATGCTTAAGAAATTAGGAAAGTATAGATGAACATAAAATAACATTTAGAGATCATACCTTGAAATATAACAAGAAGATTATTTTTGATTGAAGTTGGTTGCCATTGGTAGTTAAATAGTTACCATAGTAAATTTGTCACATTTTATTTATAAAATACAAATTTTTCCTGCTGTTTACCTAGTTTTATGATTTATAAAACACATTGAACTAACGTACAGCTGTTTATATATTAAACTAAAATATTGCCTTTTGTAACCTAATTAGCTGCACATGATAAACAATTGAGAAAAATAACAAAAGTATCATTTAAAATTAATACAACTACTACTGGTAGAAGTATAAAGTTTAATTTCTTATAATTTGTCTGAGCCAAAAACTTCATTAATACGTCATGTTAAAAGCTAAAGATTTATGCTTTATTGTTCAGAATTTTTTTAATGAACCTTTTACAATTCTTCAAATAATCCAAACCACACACCAACATGACTAAGACTTTATGTGTTAGGTGACACAAGTAACACTTTTATCTGAACAGGTTAACACCATTAAAAGAAAATTGTTTTATTTGTGGGATTGAAATATTATTACAACAGCTGATAGTTGTGTATATTTCACAAATACTTACCCCCCTACACACACACTTCAATGTAATACCAAATACATTTTTGTAATCTAGATTATATTTAGACTGAAATAAAACCTTATGGGAAGACAGAACAGAGAAATGTACTTGAATATTAAGGACTTCAAAATAAACCTTATAGGTAAAATTATGAAACAATGACCAAACATTCAGCCACTATAAATAAATAAAAGCTTGGATGTAAGGTACAACTCTTACTACCTAACTACATTTTGAATTTGTTTTTATACTAGTGTAATTGCCATAACTAGATTATGGTAAGATAAACTATATCTATAGTTAGATAGCTTTTTTGTTGGTGAATAAATATACAAGTAACTGATAAAACTTCAATAATATTTGACAATCACTTTTAAATGTTTTCTTTAAAAGCCTAACTTTTTTCAGTTGAACATTCACAACAGTTATTACCAAGAACCTAAAGAAATCTACTTTTATCATAACTTGTAATATTAGCCTCTAGTATTTACCTTCTTAATTTTAAAGGACTGCAAGTATTACAACATTCCTGTTGAGTTTCTGAACAGTACTTCCAACTAAAATGCTGGTAAAGCATTTGAAGTATGTGCTAATAGACAGACACTTAAAAGCGTACACATAAAATGATTCTACACATTTAAAAAATCGGAATGTCCTGGTAGTAGACAGTTATTCACTTTGTTCAAGCCGTGTAGGTAGTAATGTTTTTGCATCCTAACCCAAATATTGATAGACATCTTTTTTTTCTTCTTTTTCAGGCAGTAATGATTTTGCAACTCAATCAAATCAGTGATCTCACATGTATTAACATGTACGTATAGCTTGTTCATATCCTCCCATTAGCATTAATATATGTAAACGTTAGTCAAAACATTCTCATATATATCAATTTTTGCATAGTGCTAATAAAATCTGACAAATCAGTGTTTAAGAAGGTACAATTAAGATTAAAGTCATGATATACTGTTGACTGGATTTGTAAACTACACTTCTCAAAATTTTTTGACAATGACTTGTTTTTATAACCAGAACAGGAGAAGGATCACAGGTCATAATAATTTAATAACTTTGAACTCTGAAGCTTTTCTCCCAAGTAATGTTTAGGTCATTATTATAAAAACTGAAACATAAAATTGTAAGTGATTCTACTTCAGAAACAAAAGTACAATAATGTGGTCATAATGGCAGAATGTTACCTTCTTAATTATAAGGTAAAATAATGAAATATTACTATGAACTGATAGATACATGTTCTTTAGTGCACGAAATAAAATCAGCATGACTCACCACCTCAGTTAAAAGAAAATTCAGAATGCTTGCTACATTAGAAGCTGTATATTTAATCTAGAACTTCACTCAGATATTAACAGTGGACTCCTGCCTCTGAATACTCCAATTATTACACTGTTAAATATCTTGAAAGTGATCTTATTTTGTTTCAAGTTTCATTGACTGTCAAGTTACATGGTTCTTAATGTCACTATAGCAGTCATCTTGGTCAGTGCCTGGCTAAAGTGGAGGTTGAAGTATTTCTCACGATAAACATGTTGTAAAAGGCATAAATAACCATATCAGAATTGAATATTTATCTTGGTATCTATCAAATGTATCCACCGGTTGAATTTAAAAAAATATTGAAGTATTTTTTTTCTTTCAAATTGGCAAAGAGAAGTGAGCATCAAAGAAAATCATATCATATCTATACCTCACATCACTTTTAAACATGCCCCTTACTCTGTCTTGTCTACAGTCAATAAATTTCCATTGCACAAATAAGAATTAATATTTCAATACATTCAGAAGAAGAGGTTAAGTAATTTTTTCTGTACATAAAAAATGCTAATAAAATTTAGAAAAAGTATTCTCAAGTACAAAAATTTAACACAGTGCCTTATCAGTAATTACGAAATTATCTTCACACATGATGATGAACAGTTCACATAAAACAGATAGCTACCTTAAAGCAGCCTAACAGTTTCATAAAACAAAATAAAAACAGTAACTCTTAATTCTTCTCTGACAAATGAACAAATTGAACTTTCCATAAAAAATCTTACTTATACATTAATCATGACAATAGAAACTGCTTAAATTCTAAAATTTCCATTTCTAGGTATCAATTGCACAATGTTTGCTCACAAATTAACTATTTTAGTACTTAATGTTGCAGTTTCATTACACTTAGAACGCACACATTTTCTTGTACTTTTGAGCTTTTCCAACAACGTAAAGGTACCTAAATACTGGACAAAACTAACAATCAGAAGTTAACTGTAATACGTCTAATTTAAGTATTAATATACGACTAACAATTTCAAGCTACATACTAAAACACATTTTTTTATATTGACATATTAAAAACTCTCATTTACACAGAGAAAGGTTGTGTTAAGCAAGTGCACAGAAAAAAAGGTTTTTGCAGCATACCTCAAGTTTTTTTATTTATGTTAAAACTTGAGTGTAGTAAGCAACTGGATACCAGATCAAGTTTTGATTTATATAAAATGTTTTTTTATCTTCAGTATCTAATTAGGGGACAAAATTTAAAATTACAAATGGATAATTTATTAAGTTTTGCTCTGAAATAATTCTTTTTAAAAGTGCTTACATCACATACTCAGCTAAGCAGGTATGATAAATACTTAATACTTCAGAAATTAGGAATTATTCACAATATTGTGGTTGCCAAAAAATGCGAAGAAAATAAAATATAAAGCTGAGTATTTTTCTTAACAAAATCATTGATGCAGCAGTGCAAAATTAAAGCTTTTAAGTTATTTTTATTTTTGTAAAGAATGCTTTTTATTTCTAAGCTTTAATGTCTACTTTTCTTGGGTTTTGTATTCATTAGCAAGGTGAATCAGAACCCCCTTCCTCCTCCAGGCCAAATTATATCAACATCAGAGGGCAAACAATGTAAGAAACCATACCGCTTCACAACCATGTTTTCAATGTCAAATTGTTAATGCACATACTATATTTTTGTTGCAAACAGGAACATACATAACATAAAAATAAGTCAAGAGACATTGAAATTTCACTCATCAACAATTGCTAATAATAATTACAGAAGCTGAAAGCAGCTAGTTTGGATTACATGGTCATGTAGAACTACTTTTTTAGGGTAGTACAATAATGATGAGCATGACCTGCTGAATATGTGTTTTTAAAAGTTTTTTTTCTTCTCTCTCTCGATCAAAGAAAAGCAACAAAAATTTTTAAACAATATAATTATATTACACATCAAATTGAGTGGACTAGTTTGTACACAGACCTCAGATGTTCTGACCTATTGGATTTGAAAACTTGGGATAAAAGAAGTTTTGCAACAATGTGCCAGCCTTTTCCTGAAGGAAAGTAAAGGGGGGACCTAGGTGGAAGCAATCCTTTTAAGGAACCTTTTCTCTATCTTCTTCTTCTGTACGAGTTCACAGCACCATTAGCTGACTGTTCTGGTATTCCATCTTCTATTGCATCATCTAAATATTGTAGAAAAAAAAAACCCTTTAAAACAGATATATGTCAATAAGGTTTTTACTTCTTGGATAATATGGGTCTTAGTTTCATCATAAAGCAATAAGAATGAACTGTTTACAACTAAATAATGAATTTAAGAATTTCAAACTGACATACCTAATGAGTAAAAGTTTCAAAGCTAGTTGAACCTCAGACTTTATTACATAAAAATCATAAATACCCATAAAGTTTATATTAACTAATGCTTTGTAGAAAACAAAGATTTTTACCTGTCAATTTCTTAAGTTTAAGTCTTGAAATTAAAAAGAACACCATTTCTCCAGGAAAATAAAAATTATAGATTACACAACAATGGTCATTCCTGTTTCTATACTTTCTGCCTAGGCCCGGCATGGCTAGGTGGTTAGGGAGCTTGACTCGCAATCTGAGGGTCGCGGGTTCAAATCCCTGTCACATCAAACATGCTCGCCCTTTCAGCCGTGGGGGCATTATAATGTGATGATCAATCCCACTATTCATTGGTAAAAGAGTAGCCCAAGAATTGGCGGTGGGTGGTGATGACTAGCTCCCTTCCCTCTAGTCTTACACTGCTAAATTATGGATGGCTAGCACAGATAGCCCTCGTGTAGCGAAATTCAAAACAAACCAAACTTTTTGCCTTATTTTACCACACCAAAAAAGTTTAGAAGGCTTAATGTGTGTGTGTGTTTATTAATAGGTAAGTGAAAACAGTTTTTGTTTTATATTACACAAGGTTCATACAGCTGGGAAATTATAAAATATGAGGACTTTAAAGGTAATAATTTTCCTTTTTTACGACCACTTTTGTTGCAGTAAATAATTATTACATAACTCAATTTTGTAATGCAAATTCACTTTTACCATGCTGGATGGGTATCACTGATTTTCTTTGTTTTTTTTTCCTTCTCACAGTGGAAATACTTACCCAAATTGCATGAAACTTAGAAACAAAACTTACTAAATAGTATATAGTTTCAGCTTAAAACAGTCATTATAATGATTTTGTTGTAAAAATACTTGAGACACTTATTTTAGAATATAAGTGTTTATTGTCAATCAGAAAGTTCCATTTTTAATTTGATTATTGCAATAGTCACCACTTCTGGCTATAAATCATCAAAAAAATTACGACACTTATGATATACGACATTGTTTATCAACAACAAGGGGACATAGATAAATGTTTCAGAATTCTATCAGATTCCATCTTCGGTATCTAAAGCAAATTTACAGAAGTCTTTGGACATTGCTAAAGTACAAATGCTAAATTTAACTATAATTAAAAAAATAAAAACACAAAACACTAATCATGAGAAATTACAGCAACAACAACAAAAATAAATAAAATCAGTAATACAAACATCTTAAAAAAATGTATAGTTTAAACGAAGAGAGTGCTGTTTGATGTGGAGGGTTTCTTTAATCAATAATTCCAGGTCGGTATTAGACTTGCAGAGGATAGAAAAATTTGATGTCCTGGCTCTTCACTAATTTTGGTGTATAGAGGAAACACAGGGGTTACTCAATTTTTTTTGCGTTTTGATGGAAATTCCTATGTGTTCATAGGCTCTGACTTTTAAATGGCATTTGGTTTTGTCAATAGAGGAGGCTTTACAGTCTCCACACGTGTAAAAATAGACAAGCCAGGAACAATAAGGAATGGGGGTGAGATCTTGAGTAGGGAAGAAATGTTTTATGCGTGATGTGGATTTAAAAACTAATCTAAAATCCACTTGAGGGAAGTAATGACTAAGGATGCATTTAAGTTGATTTTTTAAAGTTAAGCTTTGTTTACCAGTATAGGGAAGACACGAGTATATCTTAATTGAAGTTGTGAGTTTCTTTGTTAAGAAGGTGTTGGTAATGTTTTCTAATAAGTGTTGTGGGTAGCAGTTACGTTTCAGGAAGAAGGACCCAAGAATGACAAGGAAGTCAGGGCCAGCCGACCCAAGCTACCCAAATTTGATGAATATCAAGATGACATGGATGCTTTCCTGGACAGTATGAAAGATTCATCCAAAGTCAGAACTGGGACCAAGGCAACTGTGCAGTCTGTCTCAGCCCACTTCTCACAGGAAAAGGCCTACAAGTATATTCAGGCACGACAACAGAAGATGCCAAGGATTGTGATAAATTAAAAGTAGCTTTACTGAAACGATATGAACTTAGTGAAGAAGGTTTTCGTCAGAAGTTCAGAGGAGTCAAACCGACACTGGAGAAACTGTATTTCAGTTAGTGGCACTATTTCACCTACTTTCTTTTGTCTGATATGGGTTCAAAGAGTAAGGCACTAATTCTCTTCAAACGTTTGTGAACCAAATGCAAACCGTATTCCTTTATGAAAGAGTTACAAAAGAAAACAACTTTTGGTATCTTGTGCAGTCAGTACATAAGTTTTGCCAAGGCTATTATCAACCTACTATTGTGGTGGTCTTAATAAAGTGGTAAGTGTATATAAAAGAAACCAACGACTTTATTTAATTAGTCTGGAAGGCTATTAATTACAATATAATTTACATACCACCTTAACTGTGAAGATATTCAAATATAACGGTAAGTCTGGACATACAATTTCATCTTTCAAACCATTATAAGGAAAAAATATTTCGATGGCCTAGAAAATTACAAAAAATGTCTTATAACTTTTTAATGAGAGATTACCATGGATTATACTGAAATGAATAAAGTTGTGGTTCATTGCTTTTCAAGGTATGTTTTAGTTCATGAATACTGGGTAACTGGTATTATGTATTTTATTTATTTCACACTTTCATTTTGCATCTGCTTGAAATAAAACTGAATAGAAACCATTTCCTGATTTTGGACTTTTTTTTTCTTCACATTTAAAGCATGTGCTCTCTTGGTTAAATCATACAAAGGCCATGCTTATGCTACAAATGTTACCATGTGTGTGTAACTTTATGTTTTAGTTTTAAGACATTTAACATATATTTTAACTGAATAATCTCATTCAACTGTGGAAATCATTAAAACTTTGCTTGTAATATCTGAAAAGACAAAATAATTCGCTGAATGTGGACAGATATTCAAAAAATGAAGCTTATCAAGCAACAATTTATTACATTGACTTCTGATTTTTTTTTCAGTATTTACCAAACTGTGTTGTCTTAAGACACACTGTTTCAGAATGTTTGTGCAAAGTTAAACAAATGGCTGTTTGCATGTAGCTGTCTCTAATTTTGAACTGATAGATGAAAGGAAAGAGAGCTAGTTAATGTCACCCACCACTACCTCTTGGGCTACTCTCATCTACATGTCATTCATATAGTATATCTATGGCCCCAAAGTGCAGAGCACATTACAGGTAAAAAATTAAGTTTTGTTATCATTAAAAATCTTGTCTGCATTTAAAAGGTTTTTACATGTAAACAAAAGCTTGATGTTCTGGATGTATGGAAGTATTTTTAAGGCAATGCAAAAACGTTTTATAAAAGAATATGCATATTTCTATGAAAAAAAAAAAGTTATTTTTTGAATGTACAATGTTTGTATTTAAACATGTACCAATTTTAAAATCATAAATAATATTCAACGTTAAACTGGTACACAATTAAAAACATTTTATTTAGCCTATCTTTGGCCTTCAAAAAAGTTGAAGACTCTACATGTTTTGGCTGTTTATCAAAAATCCCTCTGGGGAGAGGGTTTCAGAGTTGCAAAATAAAGAGAAAAAAATTTTT